TGTTACTTACTTACTGTTTATCTTAAATAGAATGGAAAATATAAAAATAGAAAAAAAAAATAGCATCTTTTATTTATATTTGTACAATATGCATGTGGTTCGACGCTCTTTTAAAATATTTTATTATGTATGTAGGTACTTTTAGTAAACATTATATTCACATTATGTGCATAAATGTACGTAAGATTATTACATAATATGTAGGAGTATAGGAATGTGTACAGACGGGTTTTATAGAATTATAAGAATGCACCCTTAAGGATATTCACAATTTTGTTGGTATTTTGTAATTTTAAACGATGCAGGGTACATACGGTGATAATAATCAGTTTTATTCAAGGATTTAATGACTATATATAAATATATATATATATTTTTTTAAATGCATTTCGTCTATACGTACTACTACTATATCGTTTTCGGCCAGATGTTAATTTCTATTTAAAAAATTCTCGTAATTATTTTTAAAATTTTTATTCGTCTCGGAGAGAGCCATGAATCTACGATATGTATAATGAAACCCACCCTCCCCCTCCCTTCGCCATCGAACAATTTTTTTTCCTGAGAAAAACGCCAAACCAGTCATATCCCGAGAGCTTTAACACCTGTTTTTGACCACCCTGTGTTCAATATTGTATTCAATTGTTACAATAACAGCAAAACATTACAAAATAACCGCCGATAATATATGCAATGCGGTTAGTAAAAATTTAAAAATGTTTTGGTTGAAATAAATTTTTTTTTTTTTTGCTTCTCCGCAATATATGCAATATTTTTTGTTAAGTATATTATAAAATATTATTTTGCATAAATCACTGAATAGAAAAATAGGAGACTAGGCTGAAGTCCTTTTTAGAATTCGTTATTCAAAATGAAACGGTATGTTGCACCATAAAATGCCAATATACCGTTATACTTTTTTAAATGATCGGTAAGACAAGCAATAATTTAAATTTTCTTTTACTTTACATACAAGTACCTACAATGAATCTCACAATTTTTTTATACAATTACAATTTTAATATTTTAACAAAATAAAAGAAAAGACAAAAAATGCAAAAAATAGAAACTGAGATTTTATGTAAAGGTATTTTGTATGCCTACTTTTGTTTTACAATATTTACATAAATATACCTATTCTTAAACACATACATACACTTATATAAATTTACAATAAATAAAAATGTCGTAAAACAAAAAAAAATCCCATCATAATTCACTCGCAAAACCTGTATTATCCTTTTATATGTGCATATGTGCTTATGACATCGAACAGAAGAAGAAAAATTAAGAACAAAACAAAAAAAGAAAAAAAAAGGATATAAATTTTTTTTTTGTGTGTGCACTTTTTGATTTTTGATTTGTTGTTTTTTTTTTCTCATTTTTTATTTTACAAATAAGAAAAAAATAGAAATGTTTGCATACTTGCCAGCCTATGAAAATCTTACAAATGATTGCTTTATATAGAAATTTATAATGATCGTATAATAGAAATGTTGATGATGATGATGATGATGATGATGATTGTATTGTGTATTTACAATGATGATTACATAGCTAAATTGATGGAATAAAAAAAAATTATTATTTTTATTTCATTCACTTTTTTTTTGCAATTTATTTTCTTCCTAACCTACCCACCATCCCCATTCCTCAAAAAAAAAAAAAAAAATCTGTATGAGAAACAATTTCTTAGCGGAGCTAAACCACTTTCAATTTTTGTTTTATTTTTATTTTTTATAACCATTTTATACTTATAGATTTTTAAGAGTTGGGAGGTTTTTGTTTTTGTTTCTTTTTTGTCAAGAATAACTTTACTGAGGTTTTTATATACCCACAGTCTCGTATATGCTATTGATATTGTGCTCTTTTTACTTCTGATTCTGAAGAGAGAGTGAAAAGAATACAGAAGAGAGAGAAGACACCTTTATATATGTACGCATTGTATGTATTTCGATAGTTTTTGGTTGGATTGTACACTAAGGTTACCGAATTCATAATATTGTAATGGAAATTTTTCAGTTTTTAAGAATTTAAACAAAATATTGAATGTGTAAAACAATGTGAAAAAAACTAATGTGTAATTAGAATAGATCATACTTCTCTTTGGGATTGAACGTTATGCAGTCAGTACAAAATTTCCTTCTCGTTTAAATAAGACAATTTAAACGAAAGATACTTAATAGGCTTCGAAATACCTTTCTGGAATCTGAGATTCTCAGTGACAGTTACAGACTCAGTGACAAAAACTTATGTTGGGATCAAAATTTTATAAGAAAATTTTATAAACTTTTAAATGAAATTTATAGAATGTCTTCCAGACCCATTTTTTTTTTCTTCTTAAAATCGCATAAAACTAAAAATTTCCAATTTGAAAGTGCTTTGAAGGTCTCCTCAATTAATACTTTCAAATTACTTTTATTCCAGTCCTTTATACTTTATGTAGGTTGGTGGGTTGGTAGGTTGACGTGTGACATGAAATTCGGTTTACAAAGTACAGGTTGGCAATACTTTTATAATTTAGATGAATATTTTGTTTCAGTAAACTATGGATAAACTACTTTAATGCTATTTGAATTACAAAATAATTTTATAAATGGGTAGATTTTTCATATAAAATATAATAAATAATATGTGAACAAGCTCGCAATTAAAGTCCTGTAAATGTTATTCCTATATTCCTACTAGTTTCCTTACTAGTGAAGACTAAATATACATAAAATGTGATTGCTAGCATTGCTACTGCTACAACTACTAGTACTATTTATTTCTTCTTTTATATACTCGTATATAAATATATATATATATATATATATATACATACTCTAACTTAAGGATTTGAAAAGCTTTTTAAAAAATTTTTTTTATGATTTCTGTTAATGGTTTGGAGTTGTTTTTATGATGCAGTTTTAATGTGTATGTGCATAAAAAGTGTTTTGTAATTTTTTTTTTTTTTGATTTAATAGAATTCCTCCTTCTACCGTTATTTAAGTGATTAAAGGAGTTTCTATACATAGTTTTGTGTGCGAGAAGCTCATATGTTGTATGGCTCGTTTTTTTTTTTACTTTACTATTGATTTTAATTTTAATAAAATTTCATACATTCAAGAAATAAAATCAAGAACAACAAATAAAAAATTTTATAATATTAAATATGAAATTCTGTAATGTGTAAGGTGCATTTCACTTTACCATATACAAAACTTACATAATCACAAACAGGAGAATATGTAATAAAAACATTGAAACCTTGCAGCTTGCAACAATAATAAATTTTTTGTATAAAAATGCACTTGTAAATTGTGATTTACAGTTCTTGTATTAGTATAGTTTTCTTAAAAATAATGTAAGACCATAAGTGAATAGAATTTTTGCATTTTTTTAAAAACCTTTTAACAACGCATATATAAAAATTTCATTCATTAAATCGACACGTTCAATTTTATTAAAATTTTTGTATTAAAACTGTTTGGAAGTAGGCGGGGGTGGAATGTTTTGCCATATTATACTTGAAAATGAATTATTAAGTAATAGTATTGTTATATTTATTATTACGCGTGAATGTACACTACATAAGTCAAAATCCTTAATTCTTTGCCTAAATTATTCTAAAAAAAAAATCGTCCTTATATTCCAATCGACACCTGCACTTTTAAACTTTCGTAAAATAAATGAACCAACTTGATTCAAAATTATTTTCAGTAGCTAAGACGTGTTTAATTTATTTTCATTTTTTTAAGAATTTGAGCACAGTTTTAAATTTGAGAGCTCGCCATAACGAATTCAAAAACTAACATCTAATTATTAATTTTTTTTTTAAATTGGAGGATGAAAATTTTGGAATAAAATTCCAAAATATAGTAGAAATGAGAAAACAAACATAAGGCAAACAAAAAAAAATTTTCTGACGATAATTTTTTTTTTTCAAAATTGCCGACAATAGCATTTTCCTAGCTTGTCATCAATCTGGCGATCTAATACCAATCAAGTTAACTTTTTAAATTTGTAAATGACAGTCAAATATGAAAATAAAGCTTATTCTTATAATTATAAGAATGGCAAATAAATTCAAGAATAAAGGCAATTATACTTGCTAAAACTGGCATAGATTGATTCTAAATGATTTTAATTGTTAAAATTTGAATTCATGACGGCAACGTCAAAGAATATTAGAGTTTATGAATTTTTGCTATGTAATTTTTTTGCAAATGACATTCTGCGAGATTAACACTGTTTGACTCTCTATTCTTTATATATACATATATATTAAAAAGGGAAAACAAATAATTATTAGAGACAGAAACCAGAAGAAAATTACCATCGTAACAGTTACGATTATTAAAATTTAAACAGATTCTTTTGCTTTTAAGACAATTTTACTCCCGATAAAAGAATATTGCATGCTATTAACAATTTGAATATTCTAGAAATTTTAAATGCTATGATTTCAATCGTTATAAAATTCTTTGGCATCCTGCAGTATATTCAAAAATTGTAATATAAATCTAGAGGAAACACTCATTATCTACAAATGAAGACAAGACAAACAAATTTTTTATAGAAAAAAATACAAATAAATTTTTAATAATCTTAATTGCCATTAAATGAAAAAATAGTTTAAGAACACAAAATTGGAATCTAAATTTGTAATTTTTTTTTAAAAATGAATTCCATAATATCAGAATCCTTTATAGTGTACTTATATTTTTATATAAGCCTTTCTTCAAAATTAAAAATTATCATTAAAAACAAAATTATTTTTTCATTTAGAAAAACAAAAATCGAAAATAATTACTTGAAAATTCATAAAAATTCTAATTTGTTTTTTTTTTCGCAACAATAATTTTTATGATGAGTTTTTCTATCTGATCACTCTGATCAGCAAATATCCTTTTTAGAATAGCAAAGAAAAAAAAACTTTCATATTAAAAATTTTTTTTGATTTTTTTTACATTAATGACCTAATTTTTATCTTCTATTTTTTTTTTTTTTAATTTCAGGTAAATATGAACAACTTTAAATAAATTCAATGAATTTTCTGTTTTTTCTTCTTTATAAAATTATGAATGAAGAATCAGAATCACTGCAAGATTTAATTAAATTGATATCAAAAATAAAAACTAGGTGAGTATTTCATTTCATTGCACAAATTATGCACTTAATAAGAGTTTTTCCTTTATTTTTTTACTTATTGTTTCTGTTTTTCGAAAAAAGAAAATCCAAATGAATTTTTCCATATATTTTCACATTTGAAATGTTCTTTTGTCAATTTATCTACCATCTGTACAAATATTATATATATATAGAAAATTATGACTGTAAAATAGAATCTTTGAAGTAAATGAATTTTATTATTACTTGAACAGTATTATATACTATATGTATAACAGTATTCAAAAAGAATATTTTGAATTTAATTGGAAATTTTTAATTATGACATTTTCATTTTTGAATTAAAATGAATTTGGGGCATAATTTCCTATCCATTAGTTTTGAGTTTATTCTAAGTATAATAAAATATAGTTTGCATTTTAGCAAAAAGAATATAATTTGAATAATATTCTAAAAAGAAGAAAAAGTGTTTTCAAATTAAAATGCATCTGCTTATTGTGCTGACATTTTTTTTTATGAAAGAAACTTTTTAAATTTGAAAATTATTATTTATGAATATAAGATTTTTTTAATTACTAGCTATGTTACTTTTGGATTATTTCATGAAGTAATTTTAATGGTATTTGATAAAGAAGAATATTGTTTCTATGCAATGTTTTTTTTTAAATTTAATTTATTGTAGTCAGAATACTTGTACTCGAGTTAGGGATTCTTAAAATGAAGTCAAAGAAATCGATCAATTGTAAAAAATGTTTGATTAATTGTGATCATTTAAAGATTACAAAATTATTTCCAAAGTTATCTATAAATTTCAAATTTTCGATGATTTTCTAGTAAAATATCAATTAATAATATAAATGTTCTCTAATATAATACGATTTATATTAATTGTAATGCAATTAACAACAGTTTCCATAGTAAAATATTTCCAGAATTAAAAAAAAAAACAAACCAATGAAGACTCTATTTAATAAAATAGAGTCTTCAATTTAATGTAATAACAATTCAATATATTTTATTGCATATTTCTAGGGGAATTTTAAAAGGAATTTAAAACAATTTAAAACCAAAATGTTTAGCTTCATTTCCAGAAAAAAAACCGCACAACTATAACTTCTCGATTTCCTACGTCTACCTTTGAACAATTTAAATAGAAAAGTGGCCCTGAATTATATATCGGCTTAACAAGTGCTATGACGTACTGATATTTTAGAATTATAGAAACAGAAAATACGAATAAAACAAAAATTTTTAGAAATTTTTTGGAAAATTTGAAAATTATCTAAGATTTTGGAATGATTGGCTGCAAAAAACTTTATTTTTAAGATGTTGAAGAGTTACAACTTGAAAACGAAGAGGAACGGGTACAAATTTCGTTCCATATATTGTGCAGTATTTGGAATTTATTTAGATTCTTGCTGAATTTATTACCCCATATTTGTATGGCATATGTCACTGAACTATGAAACATGCTACAGGATAGAAAAATGGGTATTCTGTCACCAATTATTTTAAAAATACCGGCGATTCTTCTGGCTTTCTTCACTTGTTTAGGCATCTGTATGAACGATTACTAAATCATCAGCATACTGAAAATACTAAAATGAAAAATAACATTGGACCTAACGAACATCTCTCGTTTAACCCAATATGTTATGTTTTCAGTTTCTATCCTAATGTCTTCGTATATTGTAAATTAACACTTGTTTGAGAAATAACTTGTGAACCAATCGAATTCAACTCCTCTTATTCCGCATTTGTATACAATTCTCAACAATATATCCAATAGAGCATATTGTGTACTAGAATTTCTTTTAAAATCGTACTGCCTACTATTAATTAGCCTATAGCCTTCTAAATCGATATAGGTGTATATATATCTATAGAAGTTTTAAGGACGGATACAGAGAAAAGCAAACAAATTGAAACATTTTCTTTTTCTAATTTTCTCGAACATATGGTCGTATTGTACTGATTTCGCATTTCATTTTTTAAAATAGTAATTAATAATTTTATTTTAGGAAAATCAAATCTACATTTAATACCGGTTTTATTGTAGTAACAGTAGTATGTGTGTTATTTAATATTAAACTTCAATAACAAAATAGTTCCCACAATCATATTTTAGTTCAAAGATTATCGGTATCATAATAAATAGTTTGAAAATTATAATTAAAACAAAATATCCGACAACAATACGAATAATTATTTTCTCTATACGCATATATACAACCATCAAAACTATTTAAAATAAGCATAAATTAAAAAATCACTGATTATATTGAAATTATATAAAGTCGACTCCTATAAATTAAATCAAATTACAAAATATCTTGTATATTAGAAACATAAAACATTTCCTATATTATATGTATATAATTGAACTATATAATTGAATTTATAAATAGCTACTTATATATATATATATATATATAATTAAAAATATAATATTTCCTTTCCAATTATTTCTTTATTAAAATTGTATAAGATTCTCCAATTGAAATATAATTTCTACAAATGATTGTATGAAAATCTAAGAATCTCAATTTCATTTGCATTTACAATGAAATTCATAGGCATTTTTTCAACTACAACAACTCGAATTCTTAATTTATCATTTGAATGGTTAAATTTTTTGTAATTTTATCTAGATTAAAATGATATTATGGCTACCTACTGTACATAAATCTCGGATTTTATTACTATTTAGACTTCTGTATTTTGAATATTTTCTATATATACTTACGCACTTATTAAGATGCTTGATTTTATAAATCTTTAATATCAACTTTTATAGCTAACATGCTTTTATAACATATAAATTTTATAAAGAGCAACAATGTTGCATTCCTCTGTAATCTTATACATATTATTTGCATGTGTTAATTTATTTCCTCTGTTACATATAAAATTACGATATAGTAATTTATGAAGAACAACGGGTTATTGAGCCTACATTTTTATTATTTGTTTTTATTTTTCATTAAAAGTATAATTAAAAATAGAAATTCAATCGTTAAAATAGAACTATGAGATATTAGTATATTAATTTTAATATGTATAGGTACTTAAAATTCATTTAAGTAACTTCAATCTTAAATACTCAAATATTGCCGAATAAGTTAGAAAAATTTAATTTTCCACTAATTTCTGAATTTCTTAATTAATTTTCATAAAAATTTTTGTTCTTAAACTGCTGTAACAAAAGAATTTTTAGCCAATTTTCTTTTAAGGAGCATTTGGCTTCAATTTTTCTTATTTCCGCTTTAGATATATTTTTGATTTCACTTCACCGTTGTCCCCTTGATTGAATATGTATTGTTTGTTTCACTATTTTCTTGCTTTGCTTCATATAATTTACGATCTATCTGCTACCGTGGTTCCTTGTGGATTTCACTCCGTACATCGGCTCGCCATTAAAAGTGTTCTTAATCCCTTATTATTTAAAATATTTTACTTTGTTCTCTCTATTAGCATGACTATTTCGGCTGTTTATTACATAAGTACAGAAACATTGATTTCAAAATTGCCGTAATACAGTTTTAATACACAATTTAGCTTATGAATTGCAATTGCTGAATTATGTAACAAGACAGTTTTACTACATTTTTGAAGTCAGGGAAACTTCTAGTTTGAAATTCTGTTCGACTGGTATAACTAATTGAAAATATTTGCAACAATTTTGAGTGTTTTCTCTTATAAAAAATTATCTCAAATTAATATTCCCATTCAAATAAAATGAAAATTATAAGACCTGTGTGTTCTTTAAAAAAAATTTTTTATTGAATGAATTTTAAAGAAAATTCTCATTAAATTTTTATAATTCAAATCATCTAATTATACAATAATAGTCTTATTTTTCTAACAAATACTTTTACAGAATATTGTTTAAAAGCAAATCAGCTATCGAAAAACAACTTAGACAATCTAACTAAGGAAGCATAACTAATTTTTTAAAATCATAGATGTCATGTTGTTTTTGTTCTAATTGAAATTTTTTTTTTTGCCTCATATTCTCTCAATTGCTTGTGATTGAATTGAATCTTTAAAATTTTAAATTATCGAGATTGTGTATAAGAGATTAATCACTTTCTATATAAGAGATTAATCACTTATACAAAATATATGAATTTATTGTTATTTTACTTCATATTTATAGGCACATATGTACTACTATAATTATGTATACACATGTAAGCAAATATCATAGATGCGTTTTAAAATAATAGGATATCTTAGCGCAATATATGCAAGTATGTATGTGTATAACAGAATACAATCTTAATCATTATTTTAATGATGAATTTTTTTTTTTTGGTTTTTTTCAAAAACAAATCGATTATAATTTGTTACTCTGCACACGTCTTTTAAGATTTTGAATTGATTAAATAAAAATTATAATAAGAAAACAGGAAGAATACTAATTGGATTGATACGTACATATAATCTGTATATGTATATGTATGAATGTACGTACATTTATATAAAAGAAAAATGAATCAAAAAGAAATTCTTAAGTTATTAAAATTTAAATTTTCACTTTTCCTTAACATCTTTACCATATTATGAATATTTACAAGAGAACATTTTATATAGTTGCATATATAAAATTCATAAAATATTCAGAAATAAAAACAAAAACATTGGAATTATAGTTAAATTCCGGCTTCGCAGTAGTTTGTATAAATAAAATTTTTATATCCAATAAATGATTAATTAGTCTAATCTTTTATGCATTTTAAGTGATTCTCATTTCAGTGTATTGCTATTAATCAACGGATTCATATAAAAGAGAATTTATATGAAAATGGTTTCTTGCATATTTACTGTATGGTGGGTATATAGTGGGCATTATTTTGTAAAATTTATCAAAATTAATTGATACAAGTTATTTTAATGATTTAAAATCGGTTTTCAATGCTTCTATGCATTTGACTTAATGCAAAGTTCTTTTTTTTAGCTTCCGTTTAAAAGAGTTTTCTTAAACATAATAAATATTTACACAAATAAAA